TGTGGGAGTCATGCCTGTGGCTCTAGAAATCTTGCAATGCCTCTTGGGAGTTGTAGTTCCTCAACAGCCAGCGGGCCGTGGTTGCCCACCCCTGGTGTAGTCCAACGGCTCTGACAGCCTTTCACATTTGGGAACGTTCACCGCGAGAATCCTAAATTTGCCTCTAAGCATGTGCATGCTTCCATTTCCAATGTACTTTGTTCACAGACAAAGCAAATCTCTGGCTTCCCTTAGTTTCACTTCTCTTGTAACCGAAAAACTCGGCATGTGGTCACATGATCTCCAAGAATCAGCTCTTTCGGCTGGAGATCAGGTGACCAAAAGCCCAGACTGTAGCTAAGCTCACATGACGGGAACAGAAGGGTGCCTAGAGAAGCATTTTCTCCAGGTTAGGCAAAAGCCTCGGCATGTGGTCACATGACCTCCAAGAATCAGCTGTTCTGCTGGAGATCATGCGACCAAATGCCTAGGCTGTAGCTCACATGATGTGAACAGAAGGGTGCCTAGAGAAGCATTTTCTCAAGGGAAGGCGACTGTGCAACTGAAGCATTGTTTTGGTTCTGGATAGAGTGGAGAGGGATTAGAACACCTGTCAGGTTTTTATTGCCATCTGTCTCCCTATTGGGGGGATAAAACCCTCTTTATTTGCAGTGCTCGTACTATTTTGTGTGATCGCACTGGACCGGAAAGCAGGCATTTGCTGTGACCGGCAGTGCTGAGGGAGCATGGAGCTGGCTTCCTTTACAATCAGGAATCCGGGCGGTGGGTTAAGGCCCGCCTCTGGGCTTCCTGATTGGCTAGGAAGCTGGCTTCACTTGTTGCTAGGCAGCCTGGCTTCCTAACCAATCAGAAAGCCGGGCGGCATGTAATGACCTGCCTCCCTGATTAGCCAAGATGTCAGGCTGCCTAGGAACAAGTGCAGCTGGCTTCCTGGCCAATCAAGAAGCCGGGAGGCACGTCATGACTTACGTCCTGGCTTCCTGATCGGTCAGGAAGCCACGCTGCCTAGCAACAAGTGAAGCTGGCTTCCTAGCCAATCAGGAAGCTGGGAGGCGGGTCATGACACGCCACCCAGCTTCCTGAATGGCTAGGAAGCCAGCTTCACTTGTTGCTAGGCAGCCCTGGCAAATGAAGTCGGTGTTCTTTGAAAATAAAATATCGGTACTCATAGCTGATACCAGTGATGTGCCGCGCCTTCTGTGCTAGGTGAGGCATCCCCCAGCCTGCCATAGCTCCGCCCGTCCCGTCCCCCCGAAGCTCCGTCCCCAGCTCGGTAACCAAGCTGTGTGGGGAGGAGGAATGGAGGAGACAGGGAGGATCCTCCCTGTCCCTCACTTGCCCGTCACTGGTGAGGCATCGAGATCGATGTCCTTACTGTTTTTGTTTTCTTTTTTTTGATTGGACACCTTGGACCAGAGGCGCTTTGCCATTGGTCCAAGCCATTCAGGGAGATCACGCCTCTAACACAGAGTAGAGGCTGTGACAGCTCTGGCCTCACTAGTTAGGTTACACAAGCAGTGGGGAAGCCCGCTGCTGTGTAACCTAACTACCGGTCAAAAGCCGGATGCAGCGCTGCCTTTAGTTAACATCCAGCGCTCCGTCCATGACAGGTTACACAGCGGAGAGTATTTCCCTGCTGTGTGACCTGTTACAAGCCGATCTGAATGGAGAAAAAGCTGTCAGCTGACACCTTTTTTCTTCATAATACTAGGTGAGGCTCTGTCTCACCTGCCTCCCCTGACCGCATGTCCCTGGCTGATACGGAAAAACCGTTGTCTGCGCATCCCTAGTTATAACCTTCCCTTTCTCTATCCAAAGTATTGGCTTCAGTTCTACTTTAATTATTTGTATTACTTCTTTTGCTCATCATTTACCCAGCAAAACTGTTTCAACATTTCAGCATAGATCCACGTCTATAAGTTCAATGAAAGCAGGAAAATATAAAATCACAATATTTATTAATTCCTAACACACATATTATTTTTTTAACAAGCCCCATGGTAACCAATCAGGAAAGCAAAACGAGACAGTTTATCCTTTATCGGGACAGTTCTACAAATTTGTGTCCGAGAGACAATCATTTTGTTTACACTTTTTTAAATGTTTTTTGTTGATCGTTTTTTTTTTTGTTCTCGTTTTTATTTACATGTACAGGACCGCTTTACCTGTCTGTCGTTGAGTTGTTTTTTTTTGTTCTATTTAATATTTAGATAACTGTGAAACCTTCAAAGATATGGCAGGTCCTATTTTTTTTTTTTCTAATATGCAATCCCCACCTCCGAATAACGCCACACGCGACAGATACAAAACGATACAAGTGTTCCGATAAAAGTCAATGATAACACAACGGCCAATGAGCGTCTGAACAAACCATTAGCTTGTCCTCTTTACTTGGAATGTGAAGACTTTTTTTTTCCTGTGATCTGTTAAGTTTCTCATTTTATGTTTGTAGATAATATACTTGTGCGTTCTGGACCGATATAATAAAACGAAAACCATCGGTGTGTCGTATCCTTCTCTCCACTGTAGGCTCCTCGCCGTGGTTCCATGCCTTTAGCGTTGTGTTAAATAAAGTTTCCAGATTTAAAACTCTGAATAAAACGATTGTTTCATCATCCCGCAGAGTAACCATGTAACCGTTTAACATTTTTAAAGGAGAAAATTATTTTCATGCTTGTTTTGTGGTTTGAAGCAATTAAACATGCGTTTCTTTTCTTACAAAGACTCTTTATGCATTTTTATGCCACACGCTCAGGAGGTATGGTATACTTAACGTTCACCTTTCCTGGCCCTTTCTGGATTCTGGCAGATGAAGAGATGTGACTACAGGGAGGGCTGGCGAGAAAGGGACCATTCAGTTGACTAACCCCCCCCAATCTCCACCACCACTGCCACCAGGTTATTCAAATTAGGTTTCAAATGTACATGGCTTCCCTCAATTGTTAAAGTGTTTATATAGCCAAAAATGATTTGTATTAAGTGGACTTAAATATAGTACTGTACTTGGGAAACTTTATAGACCAAAAGAATATATAGATATATATACCGATCAGCCATAACATTCTGACAACTATGACCCCGTTCACATGTAGCGACATACATTTGCAGCGGCTGGGATAGCGCGACTTTCGGGGCGACGTTCCAGCGACGGTAGCGCGACCTTCTCCGTCGGGCTCCATAGAAAAAAAACAAAATCGCGCAAAATCCGCCGAAAAAAGGGTCCGGTAGAAGCGACTTGCGACCGCGACATGGAGTTAAGACAGCTCCATTGAATAGCATTGGCCGGCGACTTCTCGCGATATCGCGCTGCAAAAATGCACGATATCGCGGCGGAAATCGCGCGATACGTCGCTACATGTGAACGGGGCCTGAGAGGTGAAGTGAATAACATTAATTATTTGGTTACAATGGCAAGGGGGGGGTATATTAGGCATCAAGTGAACATTTTGTCTCTGAAGTTGATGTGTTGAAAGCAGAACAATGGGCAAGCGTAAGAATTTGAGGGACTTTGACGAGGGGCCGATATGGCCGCCGCACGTTCTGCAAACGAATGTATGTATGCCCGAATATAGTTTTGTTATATTCCAGCATGTAATGAATTCGTTTTTTCGGATTTGAACGTACCGCCGAATCAACTGTATTTAGTTAATTTGCAGGTTCATCCGAATGCACATGTCTAATGCGGCCTGCCACACTGCACACAATGGTCCAAGAATGGTTTGAGGAACACAACAAGTTTGAGGTGATGACTTGTCCTCCAAATCTCACTCCAGTCGATCATCTGTGGGATGTGCTGGAAAAACAAGACCGATCCATGGAGGCCGATCACCTCACAACTTACAGGACTTAAAGGATCTGCTACTGACGGCTTGGTGCCAGGTACCACAGCAAAGTATAAAGAGTTATGGACACCGGCACTCCAAAGTAGAAAAACGTCTTTTATTGACGCATCATGCAACAATACACTTATTGCAACGTTTCGGGGTCACACAGGATCCCCTTCATCAGGCAGAACAAGTGCCTGAACAACTTGTTCTGCCTGATGAAGGGGATCCTGTGTGACCCCGAAACGTTGCAATAAATGTATTGTTGCATGATGCATCAATAAAATAAGTTTTTCTACTTTGGAGTGCCGGTGTCCATAACTCTTTATACTTTGCCTGGACGGTGGCCATCCGTCGACTACTGATGCACCCAACCCATTCATCAAGGATTTAGCGGTAAGGAGTGCAATGGGTACACTGACAGGTACCACAGCACACCTTCAGAGGTCTAGTGGAGGCCATGCCTGGATGGCTCGATATAAGGCGGGTGGTCATAAGGTCACGACTGATCAGTGTATTTATGTTTTTCTTTCTTTTTGGGCTTATAAAGTGCTATAAGTTAAAGTCCTCTTTGGCTGCTCAATACTGGATGACAGCATTGTATGATATGACACCCTAGTATTCATATTATACATAGCCACTATGTTTTATTCATTGTAGTGAGTAGTGTAGGAGTAGAACCCCTGTCAGGATATTTTTTTATTTATTGCTGTCTATGTCCCCATGGGGGACATTCACTCTCGCTGTGACCTGGTCTCATAAAATAATGGGAAATCCAAAAATGTGTAGAACAAGATTAGAGCGGAGATCTTCCATTTGTGATTCCTGATCCCTTGGCACCTGTTTGAGGGAATTCCCCTCAATTTGGAGAGATTCTCATTTCCTGTTGCCTTTCAGTGACAGGAAGTGAAGGGAAATCTCCCCAATGGGACAGGACAGCCAGCCAAAAATAAATGGACAAGGATGAACCGATTCCCTATTACATAAAAAAAAAATGGCTTTAGCCATACACTTTCATCCTGTGAACCCATGACACAAATCGCCTTAGTGCTTTGCCTCCTTGACTGACAGCGAAGCGACCAATAGCGGCTCAGCACAGCGTGCATTATCCAATCAGAACGCGCCCACCCCTGCTACGAACCTGGCGATGACCAGTTAGCTTGCAGCATCCGATACATGTCGTGCATCCAGGCAGAGTAATTAATTCCTAACCACATGTAATCGTATCACCTACAATTTCATGTGGTGTGCCGGCGTTTACATGCAGCGGCTGTCACCTGATCATTATCTTGAATGGGACAGCTGCTGAATGTAAATACTGGTTGAAGGATTCTTGGTGCAGGAAAACACAAATTCCTGACACAGATCTCCCTAATCGTACCTAAAGTTACAGGTGTGAATGGGGCCTAATACACACAGAAATACACGAAGGAGGAGGCGGTGTCATCCAGAAAAGGAGCCGCTGGAGAGCTGTCATACTGTCAGTTTCAGGATGACAACATTTGTGTGTGTGGCAGAGCGACAGATCGGTAAATATCTGTGATATATACCGATCATCTGTGTGCAGAGCAAACACTGGAGTGATCAGCTGATCACTACAATGTTTCTAAGAAACAGAGGACACATAGTACTGAGAGAGAGAGAGAGAGGGGGGGGTAAGACAGATATACAGAGAGGGGAGTATACAGACAGATAGGTATACAGAGAGATATACAGAGAGAAGGGGTATACAGAGAGAATATAATGTAAAAGAAGATGGACAGGAGGGAGAGAAGCGGGGATTAAAGGTACTTTGTGCTGTTGTGTCTCCTTCTCCCCGATCGAGTCCATCATCCATTCGCACTCCACTCAGTGCAGAACTCCTATAGAACATGCAGGCTGGCCTAGCACCTCACACAGAACATTGCTTTCACCCCATTATACATCACCTGGGCTGGTAACATAAATTACAGCACCCCGGGATCACACACTCTGATACTGCTCAAGTCATAATAAGCCCACTGAGCAGTCAGTTCTGGCAATTTATGTAGAAATTAAGGAAAAAAAAAATCTAACTCTAGCCAAATGTTTTTTTACTTTTGTACAGAGAGAGAAGAGTTACCATTTCTTTCAGGTTTTGCTTTTGTTAGTGACTCCAATGGGGAACTTTTCTCACTTCCTGTCCCTTGTGACACCCTCACAGGAAATGGGGGTGTGGGCATCACAAGGACTGGAAGGCACAGGCAGCAATAAAAACTTTAGAAGTTCAAACCTTTACCCATTGTACTAAAATGTTGTCTGTGTTGGAGAGATTTATGATCACTTCTTGTTCTAACAGCAAACAAGGAGAAATCAGACATATCAGAGGAGAGGGTCCGAGACCTCAGACATATCAGAGGAGATGGTCCGAGACCTCAGACATATCAGAGGAGAGGGTCCGAGACCTCAGACATATCAGAGGAGAGGGTCCGAGACCTCAGGCATATCAGAGGAGATGGTCAGAGACCTCAGACATATCAGAGGAGACGGTCAGAGACCTCAGACATATCAGAGGAGACAATCAGAGACCTCAGATCTATCAGAGGAGACAGCCCGGAGACCTCGGACATGTCAGAGGAGACGGCCAGAGACTGCAAACATTCAACAGGGATGCTTGGAGATTCCTGTCATTACAGCCTCTTTGCAAATTATATCAGAGGAGACAGCCCGGAGACCTCGGACATGTCAGAGGAGACGGCCGGAGACTGCAAACATGCAACAGGGATGCTTGGAGATTCCTCTTTGCAAATGAATTCTTCTATTATTGACTGCTCGGGTCTGCAAAGGGGCCACACAGCAAGTACCACAGGGCCACAGGTTTGGCGCTAGGGTCCTACGTGGGTTTGCATATTGCAAGAATCCACCGACTGTCACTCCTGTCCTTTTCTTCATTAAACACCTAGGGTCGGTCTGGTGCCAGGTCTGGTGTTCGGCAGGAAATGGCCAACATGTTATCCTTGTGTGTTCAGGTTTAAATTGCTAGTTTTTCTCATAGAAAAAACAGAAAACACACAAAGTATGGATGAGACACTACCGGGGCCATTTATAACATACAAACAGGAGAAACAATGTATGAACAAGTGAGTTATAGCCTACGCCATCCAATCAGGTCATGTGTTTCATTCTTTTTGCACCTGATTGGTAACCGTGGGAAACAACTCACCTCTTCCTCTTTCTCTGCTTCTCGTTTATTTGTTGTTTTTAATACATATCTCTTCTCTCCTTCCAGCACTTGTCGCATTATCTTTTAGTGGAGCCATTGGTCTCACTTTTCTCATGCTCGGATGTGCCTTAGAAAGTTATAAGTAAGTAATTTGTTGTGTGTGTGTGTGCGCATGCGTGTGTGTAGCTATAGCTCACCCACTAGGCATGTTTATATATACTTACCATTTAATTCACAAATGCAATGTTGGAATTTAAAAGCAAATCGTTTCACGGAGAATTGTGGGGTGAGTGAAATTCACTCTCTCGTATAATTAGAGGCAACATGTGACACTGAAGCTGTCACAGGTCGGCTCTATTGATCGAGAACTGAGAGATGACATACAGCTGATCGCTCCGTTCCCAATCCTTAAAGGAGAACTATGAGGTGAGTGCTTTTCACTCACCTCATAGTTCTAGCCGACCTGTGACAATGAGACTGTCACAGGTCGGCTCAGTAGATCGGGAGGTGAGCGAACACATACCGGCGTTCGCACACCTGTCGATCCTGTCACGGCTCTCTGCCGTGACAGGGGAGTGACTGGTTTCCCCCCGCTCCGATCCGCCAGCGCTGACTGGTGGATTGGACGGGGGAGGGGGCGGGTACAGCTGGCTCTGCCTCTAGATAGGCAGAGCCAGCTGTCAGTCACGCAGCTGGGCGGATCCCGGCACAATTGTCGGGATCCGCTTCAACGTCTCAGTATACCGCGAGCTGCTGCGGCGTCTCTATATACCTCTATATACCGGGTGGATCCAGACAATAATGTGGGGATCCGTCCCGGCTGCGGCGTCTCAGTATACCGCGAGCTGTAGCTCGCGGTATACTGAGCCTAGGGTGACGGGAGGACGCTAGTTTGTGTCCTCCAGTTACCCTAAGGAGAACTATGGGGAAAAGCCTTAACCCCATAGTTCTCCTTTAACCTGCAGAGAGCGGTGGCTGTCAGTCATCACTACCCACCGGCATTCCCCTCTCCGATCCTCCAGCGCTGACTGGAGGGACAGACCAGGGAGGAGGTGGGCATAGCTGGCTCTGCTTCTAGAGAGGCAAAGCCAGCTGTCAATCAGCCAGCAGGGTGGATCCCGACAATACTGTCAGGATCTTTCCTGGCCGCGGGGCGGATCTGTGCTCTCAGCAAATAGCGGCAATAGCTTATAATTAGTAAATGTCCTCCTGTGATCCTGAAGAGAACTTTACCCATAAATGGTTGGGTCATACTTCTCTTTGAAAGTGTAACTCCAGCCAAAACTTTATTTTAATTGCTTTCTGCGTCCACATTTTAGACATTTCCACTTACATCATATCTCAAGCACAATAGCAACCAAAATAAGGGGAAATTCTACTTCTGGCAGTAGTCGCCAAAACAGGTGTTCCCATTTTAAGATGGCCCTACTACTTTTACAACGGTAACATTTTGGATTCCCCCTCATTTTTTCCTATAGTGACAGTGGTTACTAGGACTATTAGGGCTCGTTTACAGAGGATGTGCACATGCGTACAGCGTGCACGCCTGTGCAGAGACCTGCTCCAGGGAGGAACAGGTGCTGCGCGTAATTGCGTGCAGCCGCCTGTACCTCCCTATGGGAAGACACGGCTACACGCCGACTCGAATCTGCACATCTGTGTCAGTCTGGGTGCCCACACTTGGACACACACTGTCTGTGTCCAAGTGTGGGCACCCGGACCTGAATGAATGTGCAGGTTCCGGTCGGCATGCAGCTGTGGAGGTACAGAAGGCTGCACGCAATTACACAAGCACGTGTCTCTCCCAGGAGCAGGTCTCTGCATGGGCGTGCTTGCCGTACGGATGTGCACAGCCATGTGAATGAGCCCTTAGAGAAGAGGTCATTCTTTCTTGTGGAAACAGAAAAAAAAAACTGAGGGCTTCTAACTATTCCCCATTCCATGCAAGACTGGATTAAAAAAAAGTTATAATTTAAAGCATAACTACAGCTAAAAAAAGAGGTAAAATAAAAAGCCAATTTAAAGGAGAACTATGGGGTTAGGGCTTTTCCCCATAGTTCTCAGGGTAACGGGAGGACACAAACAAGCGTCCTCCCGTCACCCTAGGCTCAGTATACCGCGAGCTGTGGCTCGCGGTATACTGAGACGCCGCACCTGAAGCAGATCCCGACAATTGTGCCGGGATCCGCCCAGCTGTGTGACTGACAGGGGGCTCTGCCTATCTAGAAGCAGAGCCAGCTGTAACCGCCCCCTCCCCCGTCCGATCCACCAGTCAGCGCTGGCGGATCGGAGCGGGGAGGGGGAATCCAGCCCCTCCCCTGTCATGGCAGAGATCTGTGACAGGATCGAGAAGTGAGTGAACGCCGGTATGTGTTCGCTCACTTCCCGATCTACTGAGCCGACCTGTGACAGTCTCATTGTCACAGGTCGGCTAGAACTATGAGGTGAGTGAAAAGCACTCACCTAATAGTTCTCCTTTAAAGGTAGAATAAAATAGGAGCTTCATTATTCTCCATCAGTCTGAACCTCTCCCCTGAAGTAATTCTTTACCACCACTAGATGTCCTCAGTCTTCTGGATTGAATGATGGCCATAATCATTCAATAGACTTCCTCTGAGCCCAGGCTATTATTCTCGACACTCCCTCCCCCCCCTTCCTCCCCGAGGATGTGTCATCACAGTACGTGCTGGGCTCAGAGTACTCAGTGCTCACATGTTATTTTAGTAAACGTCCCATTACCCCGCATACAAGCAACCAGATAAAAAAAGTCAAGGTCATATGTCTTTAATTTTTTTTCCCCTTTTGCTTGATAGACATGTACACACTAAAACAATTGGTTAGCAACTAAATTTACTTAGCTGCTTACTAGAGCCTCTGTTATCATCTTGCTGCTGCCGACGGCTATATTACTCAGCTGGCAGGTGAATGTAAACAATGGGCAGTGGGCATGTGCAATAGCCAGCCTGCTATTGGCTATAGCAATTTGAAAAAGCCAAAAGCAGAGTCTAGCCAGCAGATAAATGGGGTGCGGGTTGTTGCTTGAGAGTTAATAGTAACTCTCAAGCAACCAGAAACTACAATTATCCAGCATCTACTAATCCCCATGGGTGCTGGATAACTGGGAGTTTGCTGTATTTAAAAATAAAAAATAGCTCTGGCTTTAATACGCTCCTGTCTGCGGCTGTCTGTACCCCCAAAGACTCACCACTCCTGGTGGTCCTGGTTGCCATCTCTCTTTCAGAATTGAATGGCATCCATGAATGAGCCCTAGCCATCGTGGGCATGTCCTCTGACGGTGGGTCATTATACTGGCCGGGACTCCTGGACAGTGCAGTGCAGTGCTTACACGT